GGGCCCGGGCTGGGGATTCGAACCTGCCACCTTAGGTGTATGTGGCTGGCGCCTTAGCCGCTTGAGCCACAGGCGCCGAGCCCCCTTTCTGAACCTGTCCCCAGATTCAACATCCACCCTGAATGGGGCTCAGATCAGAGTTCCCATCTCTGTTTTTGGAAAGACCCCCCTTCTTTGTTGCCCTAGGCACCCAATCATTTCCTCACCTCTGTCTCTCTCCCCTCAGGCCAGGAGGAAGCAGAGTCACTCCATGCTTCTCAGAAACAATTGGCTGTGCTCCACATGTCAAGAAATAACCACAGTAGGTGTTTTTACTTCTGGGGACAACGGTGATGGTCATGGGCATCCCCAGGGCACAGCTCTACCCTTCCCCAACAAAAGCCCTGCGGAGAGGGACAGTGATGGTGCCCACTGCAAGAAAGGCTTTGCCAAAGGCTGCAAATGAGGAACTGTTAACAGGTCCTGGGAGTGCTACAATTTGGTAAACCTTTCTACAAAGCAAAGGTGAACCAAGATAAGTGGACCAGGACGGAAGAGCCAAGCCACTTCATCCACCACAGCAAGAGGCTCAGAAGGGTTTGGAGCTTCTCCCCCCTTAATAGCCCCCCCCCCCAAAACATACACACACACAGAGTCCTTCTCCACTGTTAGGAGAATGAAGCAAGAAATGCTGGGCGGAGATTCTATAGTGCTTTCTAGGTAAGGGGAAGTGTTCTCCTGCCCTGGATTTTTATAACTAGTGGTGGGGAGAGTGGAGGTGGGGAGGAGTATTAGGAAAGAAAGGAGATGGAGGGAACAAGCCCCAAACTCTGTAGTCTGTCAGAGGTGCTGAAGAAAGAGGCCTGATTCAGGAGGGATCCCGTCCCACACTGGAGTTAGGCCTCAGGTTAATTTAAGGATTAGGGTTAGAATTAGGAGGGTTATTAGGGTCAGGGTGGAGATCAGGTTTAGGTTAAGGGCTAATTTAGTTAAATGGTTTGGTTTAGCAGAGGGGCTGGGAAGGCTGTCTGTAACTCTGGGATCTCTAATTCTCCTTTGATTTGGGGAGGAAGGCAGAGCAGAGGTGCGTAAGAGGAAGGGTGAGGAATAAGAGAACAAGAGGAGAGAGGAAAGAGGCTCTTCCCCTGAGCTCCTGGCAAAAATGCTTCAGGCTAGTGGGCCATGGAAGAGAGCAGCAGTTTTGTAGAAATGTTTCTGAGGCATCTGGAAACTACGTCTGCATGTTGCAACCTGGTTCATTTTCTGCCTAATTAGATCACAGTGTTCAATGTTAGCATTGGCTGAAGTCTGGGAAACTAAGATTGGGATTTCTCCCAGTCTTATTCCTGGAATCACTTGGATTCACATTTGAAATGCACCAACCCACCCCCCCAGGCCCAGGCTGTCCCAGGCCAGCTGGCACAATTGGCACATCACAGCTGCCCTCTTTCTCAAGACCTCTGCTCTGACCTTGCCCCTTCTCCACAGCGGACAGGAGTGGAACCGCACGCTGTTGTTTGCCAATCACTGCAACTTCTAAAAGAAAGATCCTCAAGCACAGAAATGCCCAGGGACTCTTCAGAACCTGGAGAAAATTACAGAAAATTAGAAAATAAGCATGAAATGCCCTTGCCGCCCTCTCTGCAGCAGCACCTCAGTGTCCCTGCAGGGAAGGCGACTGCAGGCCTGCTGTGGTCACTGTGACACCCCCTCTTTCTCAGCAGTGAGTTGAAGGGAGATGCTGGGAAGACATAAAAAGACTCCTGGGTTTAGGAGAAAACTTTCTCAACATGATAAAGAGCATCTGTGAAAACCCCGCAGCTAACATGACACTTTTTTTTTTTTATTATTGAATGGTAACTATGTACATTAATACACTTCTGGGGTACAGTGTGGGGTTGTCACACACAATTCAAAATACTTCCATCAAACTGGTTAACACAGTCTTCATGTCATTTTCTTAGTTATTGTTCTAAAACGTTCACATTCTACTCTTGGAAAGATTCACTTGTACCCTTGCAAGATAAACCTCAGAAGTGATCCCTCCAATCCTCCTCCCTCCACCCATTCCCCACTCCCCTCTCCCTCCCCCCTCCCCATATTCTTAGACTATTTGGTTATAGCTTTCATATAAAAGGTATAAATTAGTTTCATAATAGGGGTGTGTA